GTACATCCAAAAGACAGAAAAGGAATTATAGATTTTCAATGTAGAATTGATCCAATTTACAAACTTTAAGTTTAATTTTGCTTGTCTTTAATATATTCTTCTTACGTGCAAATTTTCTATATAGTTATCTAATTAATTCAAATGATTTAATTAGGAATAATATAAAAAGGAACTTTTCTGTAATGAAACTCAAACCAAATTGGTTTAATGGATTTTTGATATCTTATTTAAATGATTCTTACTAAATTTAAGTACATCATTTTACTGTAATATTAGTCCAAAATTACTGTGTTTCTATATATTTTAGTTAAAAAAACCCAAGCAAACAGAAAACTTTTGCCAAACATTGCAAATTTCATATAAGTAATTGAATATTTACTTTGTACGTGTAAAACGATAATCAAAAGAACCTACCTTTAATCCCTGAAATACGCTCCAGCAATAACAATAAAATAAACCATTTCATGTTTGTTCTTGATTCTTCTATTTCATATTGAAATTTCTCCAGAATTTATAAAAGTAACTGATTTGATACACAAGTCATATCAGCCCTATTCCTTATTTTTCTTATCGATTTTTCCAAATAACAGAACACTTCTGTAGGCTTTCTCATAATAAATTAATTGCCATTAAGCTTTGTCGTTTCTTTGATTTCTTTTTTAACCAACATCAGTGATGCCTGAACTGTTGTGTTCTTGATAACATACACTTTCATATCAGAACATGTGTTTTTGTAGAGACGCGCGCGCCAGTTTTACAACTGTTAAAAATCATGTTTTTCTTTTTCACCGTTGAATCGTTTCGACCTTACATCGAAAAAAAAAATCTAACAGAAGATTTTGTATTTTAGAGATGATTTGAGAATGTGAAAGAGATTTTGAAAAATAATCAAATTCTATTTTGAAAAATATTTTTTAAAAAGACATCGATATACAGAAAATGTTTTGCACATTAAAATTGATAATTTTCTTGATTTCTTGTAAAGTAAATTAATTGAGATCAATTTGTACAAATCAAACAGCACGGAAATTTTTCAACTGACAAAAGTAAAAACAACAAAGTATTTTTGTGTAAGTAAAAATGTACATGTAGTACGTGTTACTGATACAATTTGCAGGCAATAGATCAATTTATCAATCTGAAATGAAAATTAATCACTGAATACAAAACTTGAACTTGTAAAGCTGTACCCTTGACAAAACAATATTTATTATATACTTTAAAGGACATTTGAGTTAAACTATTTTTTATTTCTTGAAATATATATATATATAACACTGTCAAACTTTAAACATGTATGTTACTTTTTCCGTTGGTTTAACTAATACCCAAATCACATGGGAAAAATGGATTTTCAATCAAAAAATAATTTACTGGAAGTGATAAGAAAATCATGTAATATTTAGGTGTTGGCGTACAAGATATAAAAAGGTAGTAAGTGAAAATACCATTAAAAAGATAACTGACATAATATGGGTTTCTCTTTTTGTTTTCGTCATGGAAATTTTTCATATTCTGATGAGAATAGCATTTGTTTAAAAGGCGTTTTCCAAAGATGAGGAATATGCATACTCATCATTTAAACAAAATCCTTCAATATACATTAACAATACGTTTATTTGAATACACTTTTGATGAAACCTTTTACTGAAAAATTCATGCAATCAAACAAGGACTTACAATTGAATTGGCAATACTGGGAAAGGGGCAAAAGGGGGGATAACATTTAATGTTTCTTTCCGATGAAAGTATCGCTATTAGCTACATCAGAGTTATCCACTTATCTTACTAATATTTGATTTTGCTTATATTTGATATGTTGCCTGAGTTAATTAAAAACAGAGACGTCCATTTGAAGTTTTGTTAATTGTTACCTGAGAAAAGCATGTTTTGCTGGCTTTATTCAAAAGAAGTTCCTGACAGTAATGTCTGCTAAAGCAGACATAATACTGGTTCTATATTTGTGTTTAAGAACTAGAACTGAATTCAATAAGAATTTACAAAGAAAGGACATTACTAACATTTATCACATAAACAGTGCAAATTACTCGACTGTACGGATTTCCAGTGGTCTTATATAGAACTTCCAAATACTTTTTCGATTACAACAGACACAGTAGATGTCATATGACGACTTTCCATATGCTCGCTGGATAGCTTCCTCACATGAAAGAATCCAAAGATTTCAGTCTACTGTGGTCAGAACCAGGTACAATCAATATATTTATATTATTCCTTACGTAAACGATTACGAACTAAAGGTTATTTCAATTCTCAAACAATATCATTGACATTACATTTAAATGGTTTGATTACGCGTTGTCTGAATCAATTAAAGTACAAACTTAATGCATAAAATTATGACATCGTGTTTTCTCTTCATCACATTTCTAATTACTGTTTGACATTTCTTATTACATAACAGTGATTTTCTTTTTTCAGTTCTTATGTGCTTAAACCATGAAAGTCTTGTCCTGTCAGAGCAAAGGAACACACATGGTTAATTGAGACATTCCTTGAGGTAACAGAAGATAGCAAGCTAATTCAAATTATATTTGACAGTCAGATGGCAAAATACAACCTTTTTTCTAACATGGATACAAACAACATTACCAGTACCCGTTCACTGTATGACTGACATGCAGGCAGAGTAGTTTTGCTACCACCAGGTGCCTAGTTGTTAAATCAAGCAATCACAAACTTTTTAAATGCGAAAATATAACAACCCGGCCAATTCACTTTGAAGTAAAGAGGGAGGTCTCTTGACATTAATTCCTTTGGAATGGTTCATTGTAACTAAAATATATTGCTAAAAATGATTTACAATTGTAATTTGTCTATCAGATATATAAAACACGGAAAAGTCATAATACAGACTTGAGGGATGTTTACAAAGAGGTGACTCCGAATATGACATCAATTTACAATTGCATCAGTGTTCTATCTAAAAAAATATGCTTAAAGTTTCAAATCGTTTAAAATGGTGCTGTAATTTGTTGCCCAGTTTTTACTAATCTTTAAGCTATGAGGCGTTATAGATGTTGTACTTTCTAATAAATCATTAATCTCTCGGATATCCTCAGTAAAGCCACCTTCCCCATTCTTTATTTGTTCATATCCACCTTGTCCAAAATATTTATATTTTCCATTTTTATAGCAATTCATTTTGACAGTATTCAATTACTGCAACAATTAGACGTGGTATGTATTGAAATATTACCTGGTAATTTTCATTCCTCCTGTATTAAGTAATTGATTTTGGAATTTCATGGTTCGTTTGTATCAAACAATTATTTACCTGAGCATCCCTGAATTGTATCATAATAAAAGTTGCAGTGTTTGTTCCATTATTCAAGAGAATTAGACCTGGCAAATACTTATTTCTATAAAGATATATAAATGTAATGTAAATTATGAGAATGTGCAATTATCGTTTTAACCTTTCCTCTCCTCTAACTAGCAACAAATCTCTATCTAATTAAAACATACTTGAGCTGTTATTGATTGCTTACTTCTAAAACACATTTAAGCAATGCAGAATGATACTTTGTAGAAAGTTATGAAGCAATAAACATATAAACGTTCAAAATTACGAGTAATCACTTAGAACTATATCCGCATTTTTCTTAGAAATGTTTAATAAAAGTATCTAAATGAGACAAGACTTGTGTGTATTAATATTTGAAACATTTATGGAAAATGTGCCCAATTGTAGACAAATCAACTTTATATACACCAATTTTAATATAAAATTATATTTGTACTTGTTTGATATTCATAAAGAGGGTGAAGTAATAACTGTAACTAAAATGACATTTTAATAGGATAAAACACATGTTAGTACTCAAAGACTAGGCCTCATTTCTTGTCATAAATTATATTACAACATAAATGAGAACTTTTGTGTGTTAATAGTGCTGTAAATTTGAGAATTAATTACATAAATAGTTTAAAAAAATTAGTCGTTATGCTTATGATACAGACTAATGTAAAACCTTTGCTAATGATGTCTGCCCATTTCTTTAAGCATAATAGATCCTTAGAAATGTTCTGCTATTCATGTCGTTATAACGAAAAAACGTAAAGAAGAATTCGTTCCTTGCTTTGATATATCAGAACATGATACATGTATTAGATCTCTGTTTTACATTTGGCGGCAACGCCATACAAAAGTGAATCATGAAATTGATTGTTATGTTTCCGTGATAAAAAAAGAAAGTATGTGGGTGGTTGTTTTTTTTAATGTTGTAAGATATGATATCTTTATAAAATATTGTTGCCATTTTATAAAAAATAATAAATTATGATTACAAAACTGAAAGGTATGATAGTCTTTTGTAATATTTTTGTGAAAATTAAATGCCAGTTAGTGCAATAAACTAAACCGAGTTAAAGTAAAATAAATTGATTTTATTTTATAATACAAATATTAAAAATAGAGAAAAACAGAACCCCTAAAGAGGGTTCAACACAGCAAAGGTTGCATACTCGGTTTGAACCTGTTAATGGACGGTTGTGCCAATTGCAAGCTATCCATGCCCCCTAGCACCGGCTGAAGCAGAATTCAACATTTAAAAATACATCAAAAAGACAGAAAAGTAATATCAGATTGTCAATGCCGAATTGATCCAACTTACAAATTTTAGCCTTCACTTTTTGATAATCAATTCTTCTAACGTGCAAATTTTCTATATAGACATCTAAATTCAGTCAAATGATTTTAATTAAGAATCATATAAAAAAGAACTATTCTGTAATGAAACTCAAACCAAATTGGTTTAATGGGTTTCAATATCTTAAATATATGATTTTTACTAAATTCAAGTACATCATTTTACTGTTATATTAGTCAAAATTACTGTATTTATATGTTTATATTTGGTACCAAAAAAAAAAACATGACAAAAACATACTTTTTTGCAAATGTCAAACAAATAATGTATTCAATTAGTATTGAATATTCATAATGTATGTGTAATATGGTAAGCAAACGAACTTACCTTTAATCCTTGAAATAAGTTCCACCATTAACAATAAAATAGACCACTTCATTTTTGTTCTTGAATTTTCTATTTCACATTCAATTTGATATTTCTCCAGAATTTATGAAAAGTAACCGATTTTATACACAAATCATATCAAACAAACAATCCTTGTTTTTCTTATCGATTATTCCAAATAGCAGAACACTTCTGTAGGCTTTCTAATAATAAATTAATTGCCATTAAGCTTTGTTGTTTCTTTGATTTCTTTTTTAACCAACATCAGTGATGCCTGAACTGTTGTGTTCTTGATAACATACACTTTCATATCAGAACATGTGTTTTTGTAGAGACGAGCGCGCCAGTTTTACAACTGTTAAAAATCATGTTTTTCCTTTTCACCGTTGAATCGTTTCGACCTTACATCGAAAATAAAACTAATAGAAGATTTTGTTTTTCAGAGATGATTTAAGAATGTGAAAGAGATTTTGAAAAATAATCAAAATTCTGCTATGAAAAATATTTTTTAAAAAGACATCGATATACATAAAATGTTTTGCATATGAAATTGATCAGCATAATTTTCTTGTTTTCTAGTAAAGTAAATTGAATGAGATCAATTTGTACAAATCAAACAGCATGGTATTTTTTAAATTAATAAAAGAAAAAAGAAAATAGTATTTTTGTGTTAGTAAAAATGTACATGTAGTGCGTGTAACTGATATAATCTGTAGGGAATAGATACATTTATTAAAATGAAATAAAAACAATCACTGAATACAAAACTTGAACTAAGTCTTGTGAAGCTGTACACTTGATAACACATAATTTATATCCTTCGAAGGACATTTGAGTTAAAATCCTTTTTTATTTCTTTCAATATATATATATATAACACTATTAAACTTTATACATGTATGCTACTTAACGAAATACTCAAATCACGTGGGGGGAAAATGGATTTTCAATCAGAAAATCATTTACTGGAAGAAGAAAAGATAAGAAAATTATGTAATATTTGGGTGTTGGCGTACAATTTATAAAAGTGGTGAGTGAAAATGCCATTAAAAAGATAACTGACACAATTTGGGTTTCTTTTTTTGTTTTCGTCATGGATTTTCATATTCTGAAGAGTAATGACATTTGTTTAAAAAGGCGTTTTCTATAGGTGAGGTATATACATATTCATTATTAAAACCAAAATCTTCAATATACATTAGCAATTTTTGTGCGCCACTATCTAACAAAAACGTTTATTTGAATACACTTTTGATGAAACCTTTTAACTTTTAGATACATGCAATCCAATGTATTTTGCCAGATTATATTACAAGGACGAGTTTGTTTTGTTTTACAATTCATTTGGTAATATTGGAAGAAGGGGAAAGAGGGATTACTTTAAATCATTCTTGCCGGTGAGAGCATCGCAATTACCTACATCGCAGTTATCAACTTATCTTACTTATAATTCCTTACATGCGTTCTAAAGCATATGTAATATTTTCTAATATTTCTGTATAAGAACTAACTTCTATAATAGTTTTATCGATTAATGTCCTTAGATACATCTATCACAAAACAGTTCAAATCATTCAACACTACTGATTTCCAGTGGTCTAACGTAGAACGTCCAAATATTTTACCCTTACGTCGCACCGACACAGTACAGGTCATATGGCGACTTTCCATATGCTAGCTGGATAGCTTCCTCACATGAAAGAATCCAAAGATTCCAGCCCATTGTGGTTAGAACCAAGTACAAGCACTATATTCATATTATTTCTAAAGATTATTTCATTTCTTTCTCATACAATAGTATTGACATTACACTACAAAAGGTTTGATTACGCATTGTCTGAATCAAATTAAAGTATATTCTTAATGTATAATATAATCACATCAAGTTTCATCAACCACCATATTTCTAAGAATCGTTTCGTATCACATAACAATGATATTCTTTCTTCAGTTCTTCATTGCTTGCACCATCAAGTTCTTGTCATGTCAGGGCAAAGGAACACACACGGTTTAATTGAGACATTTCTCGAGGTTACAGAAGGATAGCAATCTAATTCAAATTGCTTTTGGCAGGCAGATGGCAAAATTCAACCTTTTTCTAACATGGATACAAACAACATCACCAGTACACGTTCGTTGTAGGCGGAGTAATGTTGCTTCCATCATCGGGAGTCTGGGCGTTAAATCAAACTATCAGAAACATTTGAAATGAGAAAATATTACAACCCGGCCATTTTGCTTGGAAGAAAAAAATGTATGACTTTTTTATGGTACAATGTTACTCAAATATATTGCTAAAAAGGATTGTAATTTGTCTTTCAGAACGTGGACAAGACCTTATACAGACTTGAGTATATTGTTTACAAAGAGCTGACTCCGAATATTACATCAATTTACAATCACATCATTGTTCTGTCTTCATAAATTTCAAATCGTTTGAAATCATGCTCCAAATTGTTGCACAAATTTACTGGTATATAATACTTCCTGTAAATTTAAATAAAAACATTCTATAATCTATACATGACATTTTTTATCATTGTTTTGAATCCATAAAAAATGATATTATTGCACTTTCTTCCGAACGATATCACAGTTTCATTTTTATGATACATTGAAATTACATTATTTTGTAATGTAGATAAAAGTACTTTTATAAAATATAGGTAGGTAAATAATTAAACTTTATAACGATGAATTTCATCAACAGTTACTTATATACTTTGAATCTCGGGACAGACAGGCTGACCGTTGACATTCATATTACAAAAAAAGCATTGTTTGGTGTTCACTTCACAGGTGTTAGAACTGGCAGATGTTGTGTAAGTTTGTATAATGATTAAAGTATTCCTTTTTCAATTCCCTTTACTTGTTTTTGCTATTCTTGTATACGAACAGTCTTATAAACTCCTAATTCAAATATGTCAAATGCATTTGTATTCGTGGTTAAAAGTTAGTGGTAAATATGATAAAGGCATAAAGATGTTGGTGTCCTTGGGATATTTAATCATAATCAGTTTACTATTTTGCCTATATTGGTTTTGACCGCTTACAGTAAACCTAATTTTTCACAGCTGATTACTTACATATAATGTCACTGTTTTCGTTATAGGTACAGAAATGCACACATGAATGGTCAAAAAATCTGGAGAAAGAGTGATCCCTTGGAAGCATTAATCGCAATAAAATTACATGAAAATCAACTGTACATGAGGATAATGGAAAAGTGCAGAACCCTCATCGCTCCCATCCCCCAGTACCGACTTGACCGGTACTCAATCTTCAACACTAAAAAGTGCTGGAATCAATTATCAAAAAACAAAACCAAACAAAAACATAGAAATATATAACAACACTGAAGTTTTAACAACATGTTGCTTCATGAAGTTCGTAAATGCTTTGAAACAACGTACAGTTCAAAGACTAAGACAAGCACTGTCCATTTCTTTTTAAACTTCATCCTAACAACGCCCATTCTGAGTATATACGAAATTGGATAAGAACATTTACACAAACTAGCAATTATTGCATTTCCTATAAATAGACATTTGATTACCAGCTTGCAACTGTCACTCAAAGCTAATATATGAACTAATTAATATTACGTTTTTCACCTTCTGCCAGACACTTATATCTTTTAAAACAGAAACGCGTATAAAGTAAATATTTTCGTCACGGTAACGATTCTCCTTCCTGAGAACGTGCTCTATTAAGAAGAAAGTGTATAAACACAGGTGAAGGTGCTTAGTTCCGTATTAATATCATATATCTTTTAAATTTTCATATTCCTTAAATTTAATAATATATTGGCAAATGGATGTTACAAGTAATGCCAAGTGACTACATTTAAAATAATGTCCGAGATTCAGACATTCGAAAGGGATAAGGTTGTCTTCATAATATTTTTCTCGTTTCGTCCCATTTATGATAAATAATAAAAGAATTAAGAAAAATCTCATTTTTTCTTTTTGTAATATCTGCGATTTTGGTTTCTGCAATAATATGGCTTACATGAACAGATTGAGCTAACTCGAGATAATCTCCATTATTACAATCATAATATATCTTATATTTATATTTGTTTCGAATTTATGCGACGTTCTTTGAAGGCTTCAAGGGTTCAAGTTAAATTTTACATAAAAAATGAGCCGCGCCATGACAAAACCAACGTAATGCGTTTGCGACCATCATGGATCCAGACCAGCATGCGCATCCGCGCAGTCTGATCAGGATCCATGCTGTTCGTTTAAAAACCCTATAACAAGTAGAGAAACTGATAGCGAACAGCATGGATCCTGATCAGACTGCGCGGATGCACAGGCTGTTTGGATCCATGCTGGTCGCAAACGCATTATGTTGGTTTTGTCGTGACGCGGCTCAAATGGATTTTATATTATGGAGACAAGAATATGTATACTCGACGTTGGTGTTATTTCTGGTTTAATTTTGTATTTGGTTGTAAATGATATTGTTCTTATATCTAGAATAAACCAATGGAGCATTGCACTTGAAATGTGAAATGTTGAAAAACTATTCTAAAGTGTCAATGAAAACAAACAAAGCTTAATATGGTTGAATGAAACATTTATTAATAGAAATGGTTCTTAAGACACTGTATGGAAGTCATAAAATGTAGATAAGTATTTGAAAATGTTGATAATATTTCCACATTCAAATGCAAACAAAGAGTCTTTAAAATGTTATGTTGGGATAAGCCGTGGTCAACTATTTATTTATTATTAGTGCAACAACAGTTATCTCCTGAATAGAGACATGACTTCAAAGTTTTAGAAATGAAAAATAAGAATAGGTTAACCTTAACAAAAACAACACGATAAGGCAACCTTTGAATTTAAGTGAACACCTATTTATGATTTTATACTAAGAAACATATTCTAGATGATAATTATCTATCAAAAATGCTTATGAATATGTATAGGATATCGACCGAGTACGAGGTCTTTCTGTTTAGGAAAGACCTGGTCACGAATTTCATGTGACACCGAGAGCGCGTAGCGCTCGAGGTGTTTCATGAAAGTCGTGACCAGGTCTTTCCTAAACAGAAAGATCGATGTACGAGGCCGATATCCAACTTACACACCGTAAAACTATATTGACTTGAGCAATGGCTGATCCGATGCACACATATTATTTTTAACACAACGCATTTACAGGTAAGCTTTTATCAACGTTCTGCCTAACAACAATATATATTTTGCATTTAACTTTGCTCTTCCCTTTTAAATAATAATCAAAAAAGCTAAATGTGAAATTGTCAATAATAAAG